TTATAAAAATTAATCTGAGGCCCCGTTCAACTCGGGGAACTGTTTCTTCGCTTAAACTTAGAATGTCCACCACTTTTTTAAAATTTTTGCGATTTTTGGCCTCTTTGAAAAATATTAGTACACAAAAATTTCCAGTAAAAATGAAAAAAGTGAAAATTTCAAAATTTTTCCAAAAAGGCGCTAGTTCCTGCCATAGGTATGGTGTTACGTTGCCGGTATTCAGTTTCAAAAAAATGCAGTTTCAACAAAATTCCACCACGTCCTCAAAAAACTTCGCACTACTTCTAAAAGTTTTCGACTTAAAACCTACTAAAACTTACTTCCTACAGTTGCGGTAATAGGGACAAATTTTTTTTTAAAAACTGCGAAGCCAAAACACTCCTTATAGGTGAGAAAACTGAAAAATCTGCATTACAATCAACAGCACCATCCGTTCTCGTCGGCTTCTTTGCTAGCTTCAGCTGCTTTTAACAGTAGCCTCTGCTCCTTTTGTGCCCTTTCTTCATCACTCTGTACATGCATTGGTTTACTCTGTTGCAGCTTATGGACCAGGGTCATGAAAATCGATTCGACGTGATCCGATTCTGTGTCCGCTAAAGCTGATGTTTCGAACAAAGCCATATCGTTCTGATCAGCAAACATCTGAAATATTTATTTCTCCTAATTAAATACAGAAGAAAATAAAAATTCAAATTTTCAGAGAAAAAACTGAAAAAAAATTAATCCACTGCATTTTCCTGGTCCGTTGGAAGCTATTAAATATAAGCAAGCTGCAATTCGCTATAATACAAGTGCAGAAGGACGAGCGACGTATTCTGCCCGCTAGATTAATACATATATTTTTTAATATTTTATCTCTGTCATCATCAACACTTTTATTTACTAAATATCTCTCTGTGACAGTAATGCTGCTCATCAGCAGAAGAGCCGATTGTTTAAACGATCGGGGAAAGACACGCCAAGCAATCTTCGCTCCATCGTCTTCTCCATCATAACGAGCATCCACTCTACAAAATTTCCGTCAGTAACCACATTTCACATTTGTACGTCATTGCTTTCAACAAAATTTTGTTGAAGAGGTGCGCACGGTTCTTCGCCACGACAATTTCAGATGTTGGCGATGCTACGCTTAACCACAGCATCCTGGTTCATCGCAACCATGTGGTATCATAGCAGAAATTTGCAAAATCGGTAATAACTTTAACATTCGAAAAGTAAAAGTACTGGGCCGCCCTGACAACTAATTTTTTCGATGGTAAATAAATTATAATTTTACCGATAAATTTATTTTTCCGTATTCGCTCTCCATAACAGACGGAGGTACTTGAGAAACAGCCCAAGTGGTAATAAACGTCAACAGTCACCACCGGTTGGAAAAGCTTTCGATGGCTTTGCATTTTCAAAGATTACTATATAAGCACGCTGATGGCGAGTTTGACTCCCTGGCATATGTCAGTACCAATTTACCATCGAAACGAATGAACGAATAGTAGAATTAGGATTAGTTATACCATGGAGGTGGACTGTAAAAATCAGAAAGTACAAACCTGGGCAACA